GTAATTCCTTCATATGTGAAAATATATGGCGAGACTATAATAATTTTTCTAAAGATTATCAAAGAGGTCGCTATCCAATACTTCGCTGGTATAGAAACCTTCGGCCTCATTTAACACTTCATTTTCATATTCAAATTCATCAAACATCCTATCATCTTCATTCTCTTCAACTTCAATGGGGGATGATCTCCATCGTACGATATTGGGATCTCAGCGACTTGGTTCTGATATTGTATATACAACTTACTTTCATCCACATGCAAACAGGTATAGGTTCATTTGAACCAATCTATTTCAAGAAGAAGAGTCTCATTAGCAGATTCAATGACTTGGAAGTTAGTTGAGATCATTAATACTAATTTTACGTTGATAACTTTCCTAATGTTCTCACTTGGGTTTTATTAGCGGTTATTACCATAGTATTGGAAGGTTCAGTGATCCTCAATTGTAGTTTTTCTATCATTTTATTGGATAAGATGCTCACAGCTGCACCAGAGTCTAGAACAGCGATTACAGAGTTATTTTTTATCCTTATGTAGCAGAGGTAGCAGTGGTCCTTTCATTCATTTGATTCTGAGCGATATTGGTTTGTATAGTCTCGGAGGGTGCAATGGATGGTTCTAACAGGGGCAATGGCCTTCTTATCACTTTAGCCAACTTTTGTCTTTGATCCAGATACTGTAACATTTGTGCTACTGATACATTAGCCCTTAGGTTCATAATATCTTTAGCCATGTCATATGATTCTAATTGATCAATTACCAAAGGGCCTCTCTTTCATCAAGGTCTTGCAAAGGGAACTACTAGGACTTCTGATACTGGTAGTAGGTTTACATTTACTGGAGGGGCTACCTGGGCTTGGAATACTGGCTGCAAAGGGTTCACGTTTACTAGAGGTGGGACTGGGGCTTCTGGTTGGGGTAGAATAAACCTATATCTTTCTTCTGCTTTATTCTCCAATCGTTTAGTATATTGTTCCTTTGGTCTTTGGGTAGAATATGGTTAATGATGGGCTATAGAGGTTACAAAGGCTTCTTTCTTGACTTCAGGTTTGTATCTTTCATCCAATTCAATTTCACAAAAATTAGCATTGCCGAGTCTTGGTAGGATATGGATAGGCTGGTTGGTTGGGTTATTTTGGATGGGTTGGCCCTGATTTTGGCCTTGATTTTGGGTTTTCTCTGACATACAATAGTGAGAGATGTGGCCAGGTTCTCCATACTAGTAATAGACAATACAGGTAGTACCATTATTATTATTATTATTATTATGATTATTGTTACTTGGGGCAGAATCTTGGGGGTGCAGTTTCTGTAGTTAAGGTAAGGCAGTTGTTAATTTCTGCATTTGGAGGTTTAGGTTGTCAAGGTTCATCTCCAACTTCTTAATATTTTGAGGCTTCTCCTCACTTTTATTATTATAATATCTCTAGCTTTGATTTTATGAGCACCAAGTATAGCTTCTTTCAACATAGGGGGTTTGGCGATACTCAACCACGAGGCTGTCTTTGGCTTCAAGCCTTCTAAAACATTCGCACTATGTACAGTTGGGGCAACCAGTATTCTGGATCGACTCTTCTCAAAAGTTTTTTGAACTTGAACACATACGAATCGATTCGCTTATTCTCTCGTTGTGCCAACAAATTTAAATCCACTTGCTATTTATAGTATCATTTGAGTATAGCGAAGTATTGCGTAAAGTGAGAGACTAAGCTTGCTTCAGGTTCATTTTTGTTATCCCAGAATTCCAACAGTCTTTTAACCCTATTATACTAGTTGGCGGCAATGCCTTGCAGATACCTAGAGGCTATCTTGATCTTTCTTCCAGGAGTCCAATTATTCGTATAGGCAGCTCGATCGGACAGTTCGACCCATTCAAAGGATCCTCTTCCTCAGTACCAAAAAATGGTTCTACATGTACTAAGTTAGTTTCATGAATGGGGGCTCTTGGGGCGGCAGCAGCTCTAGCAGTGATATCTCTGAAAGTGTTGGCTATTTCTCTTAAAACTGTTTGGAGGGCATCCTGGTTCTGATACAGGTTTAGGTTTTCATTATTTTTACCATTATTTCTTTCAAGATATATAGTGTAATCATCGACAGGAGTTCTACTTCTATCGCTATATTCTGATCGTTGGTCTTCATTATTCTCTTGGTTGAAGAGAAGGTTATCATTGTTGACTTGGCGAATGTCTTGTTGGTTCATGGTGTCTTTTTATTACTTATTTTAAGGGCAGGTTGTAGTATAGGGTAATTGCAGGGTTACCTTAAAAGATCTGATTGTAGACT